ATAGAATGAATAATAAAATATTAGAATAGAATGAATAATAAAATATTAGAATAGAATGAATAATAAAATGTAGACTACAATATAGAATGAATAATAAAATATAGAATAGAATGAATAATAAAATATTGGAATAGAATAGAGTAGAATAGAATGAATACTATAGAATAGAATAGAAAAATGGAAAATGGGAAGGAATAGAGAAGAGAAAATAGAAGAGATGAGAAAAAGAATAGAATAGAACAGAGTAGAATGAATAATAAAATATAGAATTAGAATAGAGTGAATAATAAAATATAGATTAGAATAGAATAGAAAAATGGAAAATGGGAATAGAATAGAGAAGAGAAAATAGAAGAGAAGAGAAAATAGAATAGAACAGAATGAATAATAAAATATAATAATTGGAATAGAATAGAATGAATAATAAAATAAAGAATTGGAATAGAATAGAATATGGGAATAGAATAGAAAATAGAATAGAACAGAATGAATAATAAAATATAGAATTGGAATAGAATAGAATATGGAAAATGGGAAGAGAAGAGAAAAGAGAGAAGAGAAGGGAATAGAGCTGTGATGGTGAACTGTGGCACCCATGCCAGAGGTAGCACGCAGAGCCCTCTCTCTGGCCGTGCGCGCCATTGCCAGCTTCTCTTCTGGTTTCCAGTATGCACCTGCGCATCGGCCAGCTGATCCTTGCACATGCCAGAGCCCCGGAAACCAGCTGATCCTTGTTGCACATGCCTACACTAGAAGAGAATAGAGAATTGAAGAGAAAATAAGAATACAATATAATAGAAGAGAAGAGGAGAATAGAAATAGAATATAGGAATAGAACAGAATAGAATTAAAAGAAAATAGAATACAGGAACAGAACAGAGAACGGAATAGAATTAAAAGAAAAGAAAGTAACCACTGTGTTTTTCCTCTCTCTCTCTCTCTCTCCTTTTCCCGCCCTGCTCAGCTCCTTTCTTCCTGACCTGGAGCGTGGTGAACTCGGTGCATTGGGCCAACGGCTCCACCCAGGCCCTGCCAGTCACCACCATCTTCCTGCTGCTGACCGTTTGGCTCCTGGTGGGCTTCCCGCTGACGGTTATCGGCGGCATCTTCGGCAAGAACCGGGCCACGCCCTTCGACGCCCCCTGCCGGACCAAGAACATTGCCCGGGAAATCCCTCCCCAGCCCTGGTACAAGTCCACCGTGGTGCATATGACCATCGGGGGGTTTCTCCCCTTCAGGTGAGGCAGCAGCCGAGGGGAGAACAGGGAACGGGCGGTCCTCGGCTCAACGACCACCATTGGGAACAGAGCCTCTTGTCGCTAAACGGAAGGGGGTTGTTAAGGGAGCTCTGCTGGGTTTTTTTTAACGGCTTTTCAGGCCACGGTCGTTAAGCGAATCACAGCCGTGAGTCGCAAATGGGGATCATGTGATCCCTGGACACTGCAGCCGTCGTAAGAGTCCTGCGGGATTGGGCAGCCTATAAATTTAATAAATAATAATTTAATAAATAAAAATGTGGCCACCGGTTGCCGAGAGCCAAAGATTGGTCACTGCAAATCATTTCTTTCAATGCCATTGTAACTTTGGTCGCTAAATGTAAGCTGTAAGTTGAGGACTACCTATATTGCTTTGCTCCTATGATTTAACTTCCCTCCGTCTCTCCCTGGGTCCCGAGGATGGAGCAAAGCGGGGTTCGATTCCCCACACACACACACAATCTGTTGCTATTTCTTGTTAGTGTATGCGTAGAGAAGTCACCCCTTCCTCATTTTAGAGCTGTGTTTCTCAGCCTTGGAGAGATTGAAGAGGTGTGTGGATTTCAACTCCCAGAATTCCCTGGCCAGACGTACATTCAAAGGAGGGAAGGATAAAGAAAGACAGAAGGGGAGGGAAGGAATAAAATGAAGGAAGAAGAGAGATAGAAGGAAAGGAAAGAGGGAGGGAAGGGAAGGCAGGACTAGAAGGGGGGGGAAGGAAGGAGAGAAGAAGGAAGGATAAAGAAAGAAGGGGAAGGACGGGAGAAGGAAGAGGAGAGAGGGAGAAGGAAAGCAAAGAGGGAGGGAGAAAGGATAGAGAAAGGGGAAGGAAGGAAGAAAAGAAGGAAGAGGGGAGAAAGGAAGGAGAGGAAGGAAGGAAATATAGAGAAAGAAGGGGAAGGAAGGAATAAAATGAAGGAAGAAGAGAGATAGAAGGAAAGGAAAGAGGGAGGGAAGGGAAGGCAGGACTAGAAGGGGGGGGAAGGAAGGAGAGAAGAAGGAAGGATAAAGAAAGAAGGGGAAGGACGGGAGAAGGAAGAGGAGAGAGGGAGAAGGAAAGCAAAGAGGGAGGGAGAAAGGATAGAGAAAGGGGAAGGAAGGAAGAAAAGAAGGAAGAGGGGAGAAAGGAAGGAGAGGAAGGAAGGAAATATAGAGAAAGAAGGGGAAGGAAGGAATAAAATGAAGGAAGAAGAGAGATAGAAGGAAAGGAAAGAGGGAGGGAAGGGAAGGAAGGACTAGAAGGGGAAAAAGGAAAGGAAGGAAGGAGAGAAGAAGGAAGGATAAAGAAAGTAGGGGAAGGACGGGAGAAGGAAGAAGAGAGAGGGAGAAGGATAGCAAAGGAAAGAGGGATGGAGGAAAAATGGAAGAAGAGGGAGAAGAAAAGGAAAGAGGGAGGGAAGAAAGAGGAAGGAAGGACTAGAAGGGGGAGAAAGGAAAGGAAGGAGAGAGGAAGGAAGGATAAAGAAAGAAGGGGAAGAAAGGAAGAGGAGATAGGGAGAAGGAAAGCAACGGAAAGAGGGAGGGAGGAAAAATGGAAGAAGAGAGAAGAAAAGGAAAGAGGGAGGGAAGGAAAGAGGAAGGAAGGGCTAGAAGGGGAAGAAAGAAAAGGAAGGAGAGAGGAAGGATAAAGAAAGAAGGGGAAGAAAAGAGGGGGAGAAGGAAAGCAAAGGAAAGAGGGAGGGAGAAAGGCTAGAGAAAGGGGAAGGAAGGAAGAAAAGAAGGAAGAGGGAGAAAGGAAGGAGAGGAAGGAAGGAAATATAGAGAAAGAAGGGGAAGGGAGGAAGGAAACGGGATGGAGAAGGAAAGGAAAAGAAAGCAAAGAGGGAGGGAGGAAAAAGGAAGGGAGAGAAAGGAAAGGCAGACGAGAGGACGAACGGATAGAGAAAGGAAGGGAAAATGGAGTAGGAAAGGAAAAGAGAGGGAGGGAGGGAGGGAAGGAGAGGAAGGACAGAAAGAAGAAAAGAAGGCTGTCACAGCCGGATTATGAAGCTGGGGATTTCATGGCGGATCCTGCACCCTGCCTGAGGAATTCTGGGAGTTGAAGTTCCCACCCCTTTCCTGTCGTCCAATTTAACCGACGCCATTTTGGACCTGCGGAAGGATGCCTTCCTTGGCGCTAAGCCAATCTTTCACCGCCTCCCGTCTTTTCCTCCCACAGCGCCATTTCGGTGGAGCTCTACTACATCTTCGCCACCGTCTGGGGCCGCGAGCTGTACACCCTTTACGGCATCCTCTTCTTCGTCTTCGCCATCCTGCTGAGCGTCGGGGCCTGCATCTCCATCGCCCTCACCTACTTCCAGCTCTCGGGCGAGGACTACCGCTGGTGGTGGCGCTCCATCCTGAGCGCCGGCTCCACGGGCCTCTTCATCTTCCTCTACTCCGTCTTCTACTACACCCGGCGCTCCAACATGTCCGGCATGGTGCAGACGGTGGAGTTTTTTGGCTACTCGCTGCTGACGGGTTTCGTCTTTTTCCTCATGCTGGGCACCATCTCCTTCTTCGCTTCCCTCAAGTTCATCCGTTACATCTACGTCAACCTGAAGATGGACTGAGCGGCCATTTCCGTGGCTCTGCGCGGCTCGGGTGGGCGTGGCCGCCCCACGCTTTCCCCGCTGGCATCTCCACCGAGCTCCGGGGGGAAGGCGGAACGACACATCGGCTGTTTATGATTGGTTCCTTTCTCGGCTGACGTTTCGGGAGGGCGTCCCCGCTTACCGTCGTGGCCCTCGCGCAGTGGCCACCCCAAAAAAACGGGACAGGAGCGGCCTTACGTTCTCCCCTGCTGGTCAGGAAAAGCCACCAATCGGCGATCCACCTCCGACAAGTTTACCCAGTCGAATACCTTTTCCCCTTTTTAAAGTTGAAAACTGCCTTCCTGCCTCAAATGGGATTGTTGATTTTTTTGCCTTCCTGGCAACGGATAGAAACTGGAAATCTTTTGAGATATTCCATTTTTCCCAGCAGTTCAATGGATTAGAAGCTACTACTGGCTCACACATATATCCCTAAATACGTTTATTATTATTATTTCCCCCCTGCTGACTGTCTCATCAGTTCGATGAATAGAAGCGAGATCGAGTTCAACACACCTATTCCTAGATAATTTAATTATTTTTCTCCCGTCGATTATCCAATAGAAGCTACAGCCAGTTCACACACATATCCCTAGATATTATTATTATTATTATTATTCCCCTGCTGACTGTCTCATCAGTTCGATGAATAGAAGCGAGATCGAGTTCAACACACCTATTCCTAGATAATTTAATTATTTTTTTCCTGTTGATTATCCAATAGAAGCTACAGCCAGTTCGCACACATATCCCTAGATATTATTATTATTATTATTCCCCTGCTGACTGTCTCATCAGTTTAATGAATAGAAGCGAGATCGAGTTCAACACACCTAGATAATTTAATTATTTTTCCCCTGTTGATTATCCAATAGAAGCTACCTTTCATTCAATATACACGTTTCTAAATATATTTTTTTTTTCCCTGTTGACTTATCTGTCCAACAGATAGAAGTTACAACTGGTTCACACACTTATTTCTACATTTTTTTTCACCCCACCCACCGGTTATCTAATCAGTTCAATTGATAAAAACTGCACCCATTCCTAAATATTTTATAATCCACCCCCCCCCAACGCTGAGTATCTGATGATTTGGTCCGATACACATATCTAAATATTTTATTATTATTCTCCCTGCTGACTCTTAATCTTATCGGTTCAACGGAGAGAAACTGCCACAGGTTCGACAGGCATTTCTAGAGAGTTTATCCTTATTTTTCCCCTGTTGATTATATAATCAGTTCAACAGGTAAAAAAAAAAACCCTACATTCAGTTCAACACATCTCCCTTTCTTCTAATGCATTCCCTCTCTCCCTTCCAGGTTATTCAGATAACGTGACAATATTTTAATCTCGTTTCCTCCCTATTTTTCAGATTTGTTCGGTTTTAGCAGGAGATTTCCAGCCAAGTATAAATGGACCGGACATTTTTTAAACCCAAAAAAGAGAGAAAAGGATCAACAGGCTGATCTCACACGGGTCAAACTAGATCCCAATAGCCAAGCAACGGGTTCGAAGTGCGGGATTCAGGATAATTTGGCTTCGTTTGGCCCCTAACCCTTAAGGGGTTAGCTTTCCCAAGCTGGCTTCATCCGGAATATTTCGAGTTTCATACCGTTAAGGGCGGATGGGATTTGAAGTCGGAGAGCGATTTCCTTCAGCTAAATACTGTTTTGACAAACAGATGTAAAAACTCTTGCTTTCTCACGAGAGTTTGACGATTCCAGGAAATGTGGAGGCTGCATCCCCCCAAAAATTGATTTTCTGATGATTTTCTACCAGTTTCCTCGGTGACTCTTAAATAAATAAAGTAATAAATCAATAAAGCCGTTTATTCCATGCAACTTTTAAAGGTTCACCGATGAGATTGGGAGAAATCAGATAGTTAATCTTCAAGGATTGGGGGGGGGGGGGCAACGTTTTTGAAATTTGTAAATAGTAAAGACGGGTGGGAATTCAACTCAGTTGAATTGAGTTGAAGTCCCACCCATCTTTACCATTGAAGTCCCACCCATCTTTACCATTCACAAATTTGAACAAAACCAACAGTGGATTTCTGTTGTTGAATCTAATTTGTCCTCCAAGCAATTTTTTCACACTGTCCCGCCAAGCTGTTTTCCTTCCTCTTCCTCCCCTCCTTCGTACCAGATTGAGAGCAATCCTCCCATCCCATTTTCCCCCCCACCGGGAAGAGAAGAAAATATATATTATATTAAAGGGGCTGGGGGGGGGGAGAAGTATATATAAGGAATTATGTATATTAGCAAGGATTGAAGTTGGATTATTTTTTAAGTTGACGTCTCGGTTTTTGCGTTTCTTTTTACAGATCTCAAAAAGTTAATTTTTTATTAATAAAAAGGAAATGGAAAAATCCCAGGTTTTGGTGCTGATTCTGGGCATATTTGTGTCTTCAGCCCTTCCAACAATAGTTGTTAAATCTGTTATTTAGTGCTTCTTAAAACGGGGGAAATGCTGGGAGTTAGAAATCTATCCGACGTCTTAAAATCACCAACGCCGCTTAGACAGTTAGTCCCCGAACTTACGACATTTCTGCAGCTAAGCAAGACGGCGGTTCAGTGAGCCTCGCCCCATCGGACGGCTTTTCTCGCCGCCGTCGCTAAGAGAATCACGGCGGCTGTTAAGATAATAAGGCGGTTGGTTGAGTGAATCTGGCTTGGCAGAAGGTCGCCAGAGGGAATCCTGCGACCGTCGGAAATATGAATCGGTTGCCAAGGGTCTGAATTTTGATCCCATGGCCATACGTCGTAAGTGCGAAAAACAGCCACTTTTTCCCCCAACGCCGTTGTAACATGGATCGGTCCCTAAACAGGTGGCTGGTTGTAAGTGGAGGAAGTGAAGTAAGCAGTGGGGTACCACAAGCTTCCATCTTAGACCCAGGACTCTTCAATATCTTCATAAATGACTTAAGATGAGGGAATAAAATAAAATAATAAAAATAAAAATAATAAAAATAAAAATAATAAAATACAAATACAAATAAAAGAAGAACTCATCAAATTTGTAGATGATACTAAGCTGGCAGGAATAGCCAACACCCCAGAAGATAAGCTCAAGATCCAGAGGATTACAGATTAGCAGAGTTGGAAGGGACCTCAGAGGTCATCTAGTCCAACCCCCTGCCCAGGCAGGAGACCCTACCATCATTTCTGACAAATGGCAGTCCAGTCTCTTCTTGAAAGCTTCCAGGGATGAAGCTCCCACAACTTCTGAATAACAGAATAATAACAGAGCTGGAAGGGACCTCGGAGGTCATCTAGTCCAACCCCCTGCCCAGGCAGGAGATCCTGCACCGTTTCTGACAAATGGCAGTCCAGTCTCTTCTTGAAAGCCTCCAGGGAGGAAGCTCCCACAACTTCTGAATAACAGAATAATAACAGAGCTGGAAGGGACCTTGGAGGTCATTTAGTCCAACCCCCTGCCCAGGCAGGAGATCCTGCACCGTTTCTGACAAGTGGCAGTCCAGTCTCTTCTTGAAAGCCTCCAGGGAATGAAGCTCCCACAACTTCTGAATAACAGAATAGTAACAGAGCTGGAAGGGACCTTGAATAAGGCCTCAGGAGGAAAATGAGAATTATCCGGGCTTCTGGTGCTGATCCGTCCACCCAGCCTAAGAGGAAAGGCGAAGCTGGGCGCTTTTATCTTCCCCAACAGAGAAGCAGATGCCTCTGAACATGTGCAGAGTGCTTTTGCTGCCTGGCCTCCCTGGTCGGGTGGGTTAGGTGTTGGCAGGGATTCCTCATTGGGCCTCCAACCCCATAAAAGAGGAAAGACACAGGTGTATTCCCCTATCTAAGGGAGAAGCAGATGCCTCTGAACATGTGCAGAGTGCTTTTTCCTGGTCGGCCTCCCCAAGGAGCTTAGCCAGGTGAATTGAGCAATTGGGCTCGCCCTCCAACCCCATAAAAGAAGACAGATAGCCCTACCTAAGGATGTATCTGTATCTAAGGGAGAAGCAGGTGCCTCTGACCATGTGCAGAGCGCTTTCCTTGATTCCCCCTCCCTCCCTCCCCAGGGAGCTTGCTTGGGTGGTGACTGAGCTCCTCCTCCAGCCCCATAAAAGAGGAAAAGCACAGATGCATATACACTCTTATCTAAGGGAGGGGGGGGGGGAAAGCAGGTGCCTCTGAACATGTGCAGAGCGCCTTCCCGCTGCGTGAATTGGAAATGGTTGCAGTAAGTCCTCCGCTCCTGAATCGGCGCTAGAGGCGCGCGCGCGCGCGCACCCCCCCCCCACGCGCTGGCTCGCTCGCTTCCGGCGTCCCTTCTGCCCGTCTCCCGGAAGCCGTGCCTCGTCTGCTCCACGTGTGCTGGCCAGGCTGGGCAAAGCAAGCCGCAGGCTGAGCTCCGTCCGGGCGGTTCCCGGGAGGTGTGGGGGCGTCCCCGCCCTCGGCTTCTTTCCATGCCCTCCGCCCGGGCCTCCCCTCGCTGCCCCTCGCCCGTCCCTTCCCTCGCAGCCCCATGGCAGCCCAGCAGCTGGAGCAGATCCTGGCGCTGTTGCTACAGCCAGACAATGCCGTCATCCAACAGGTAGAGCTGAAGGCAGGCGGAGGAAGAGGGTCGCGGAGGGGTTGGGAAGCATGGGGCTTGCCCATTGCAATGGGAAGAGGGGAGAGCAGGGCTTTGGGGGCTGGGATGGGGTGGGGTGAGTGTGGGAGTGGAACCAGGAGCGGTCCTCGACTTGCGACGGGTTCACTTAGTGACCAAAAGGGACCAGGTCAAGGGGGGAAAAAGGGACTCGGGACCCCTTTGGCGCACTTCAATGACCCGTGGCAGCTTGTTATCTTTACAATTTATATTGTTTTAGTTAGTTAGGTCCTCGACTTGCGACGGGTTCACTTAGTGACCAAAAGGGACCAGGTCAAGGGGGGGGAAAAGGGACTTGGGACCCCTTTGGCGCACTTCAATGACCCGTGGCAGCTTGTTATCTTTACAATTTATATTGTTTTAGTTAGTTAGGTCCTCGACTTGCG